GGGGGGTTTGTTGAGAGAAAGTTAAATGCTTCAAGTAGCAACAGTACAACCGCCACACAGAGGATATGAAGGAACGTGGAGGTGAACTGAGAGTAACAGACAAACAAATCTGTACTGTCTTACGTCTCTAACAATACCGAAGGTTACGCGCGCGTGTGTGTGTGTGTGTGTGTGTGTGTGATTTCATCAGCTCCACTTCAACAAGGACATGTGTCCTGCTGTAGCAGTGCTCTGCTTAGGATGACGGACTGAGGAGTGAGTGGATCAACTTGAGGCGGTTACTGCAGGGGAGGAGGCGAGTTCAGACTGTTAAGGTGTGGTCTGCAGGAGGGAGAGGGCGGTCCTGCAGAGGGGGAGTTCACTTATTTGGGGGTTTGTAGGGTTCCAGAAGTTGCTGAGAGAACATGTTGACCTTGTCAGACCCTCGGACTTCATGGGGCAGCAGCGGTAACTTGACTATGTGGAAGTCTTCATAAAGGTCCTCCATCTGTGGGGAGCAGACAGAGCATTAGTGAGGCAGACGACATGTGACATTCGGTTGCCGCCGTATTGTCAAAAACATATTAAAAAAAAACTACAGATTCCTACCTGATCTAAATATTTGGACTGAATTTTGTGGCGGGCTTCACACATTTTGCACGGCCTCTCCGACTCAGGGAAAACAAGTTGGTTGACGATGATGTTGTGCGTGTCGATGCGGCACTTGGCCAGCTCCTGGATGAGCCGCTCCGTCTCATACAGAGAGAGGAACTCAGCGATGCACACGCAGATGAAAGTGGTCTGTTCCTGAGGACGGCGAGGAGAGACAAAGCGTTTAATATGACTCGTTCATGTGTTGAGTCGTTATAAAATCATTTTTATTCTATTACTAACGTCTACGTAAAAATGTACATTTGAACACACAATAGTCGGGTTGCAGAGGAAAAGATACAATAAAAAAAAAAGGATGTTAGCATAACGTCTAAAGCAGTCTACGTAACATCTACAGTTGTGTGAAAAAGTGGTTGTCCCCTTCCTGATTTCTTATTTTTTTGCATGTTTGTCACTTAAATGTTTCAGATCATCAAACAAATTTAAATATTAGACAAAGATAACACAAGTAAACACAAAATGCAGTTTTTAAATGAAGGTTTTTATTATTAAGGGAAAAAAAATCCAAACCTACATGGCCCTGTGTGAAAAAGTGATTGCCCCCCCTGTTAAAACAAATTAACTGTGGTTTATCACATCTTTGGAAAGCTGAGTTCAATTTCTCTAGCCACACCCAGGCCTGATTACTGCCACACCTGTTCTCAATCAAGAAACCACTTAAATAGGACCTGCCCGACTGATTTCTTGATTGAGAACAGGTGTGGCAGTAATCAGGCCTGGGTGTGGCTAGAGAAATTGAACTCAGCTTTCCAAAGATGCGATAAACCACAATTTATGTTTTAACAGGGGGGAAATCACTTTTTCACACAGGGCCATGTAGGTTTGGATTTTTTTTTCCCCTTAATAATAAAAACCATTTAAAAACTGCGTTTACTTGTTATCTTTGTCTAATATTTAAATTTGTTTGATGATCTGAAACATTTAAGTGTGACAAACATACAAAAAAATAAGAAATCAGGAAGGGGGCAAACACTTTTTTCACACAACTGTAGATGCAGTAATAATATATTTTAACAATGTATGGAGACGTCAGTGTCTCCAGAGTAATGCAGAGCGGCAGCCACAGCAAGGAGAACGTTTGCAGTGGAAGTGTCTTTGTCTGGCAATACTGAAATGGATAAATATAACTTTTGTTCATCTGAAGAGCAACAGAGCCTCTGCATGCAGATATAGAAACACTTCAGTAACTAAGTGTAGTTTGAAAAGTCTGTGATGCACAAAGCAAAAACAACATAAAAGCAACCGGAGGACTTACAGGATCTTTGAACTGCTCGCTGACTGAGCGGATGACCGGCAGGGTCTCCTCCAGCTTAGAGGCCAGCTGGTCTGCGTTCATGTCGCCCAGGCCAAGCATGTTGCACATCTACACACCGTGAGAGAGGAACAGAGGAGATGTGAAAGGGAGTGAGTCATAGCTCATATTTAATGTGTAAAATAAATAATCTTTGAATACAAAACATAAACTTTATTAGTTAGTTTTTTGCCCTTTCACTTGGCATCATCCTTAGTTCAAGTTCAACAGTAGCTTTGTGGATCTCTTAGGAATATCTTAACTCCCATGAAAGATTGGTAAATGAGTGACGGGACCTGCTCGTCTCTTCCTCACCTGGGAGATGAAAGGGCTGATCTGGTTCTTTATCTGCATGAGGCGGCCCAGACCACGCTCCACAATGGTGGGAAAGTTGAGCAGCCGCAGCGTGTGACCAGTGGGGGCCGTGTCAAAGACCACCACGGAGAAGTTCATTCCTTTCACCAACCTGGGGCACAGGACAACGGCAGCGCTGGGTTAGCACAGCACTGACTAACATTTCTTTATCCAAATCTGGGTCAGCAATACTACTACGAAAGAGTGATCTGGTGTTCCATTTTGTCGTACCTCATGACCTCCGCATAGCTCATGGCCTCGTCGATGCCAGGGAAGGCGCTCATGGCCTCCTGCATCATCTTCTTACCCATGCTGAGCATGTTGTCCTCCTCAAAGAACTCATCCGGCAGTTCTGCCACACCCAGGCTCGGGTCAATCTCCTGCACCCACACAAGCACATCAAGTAATCAGCACGTTACAGACTGAGGGCCGGAGTAACTGCAAATGATTCCAGGGCCTTTCAGCAAGTCAGTTTGGTCCGCAGTGATGGTTTGTGTTGGAGACACAGATGTGGAATGGACCGCCCTTGTGACGCTAAAGAGATAGTTACCTCATGTTCTATAAACAGCATAAATAAACCTCTTTGTTAACAAGTGCTGCTATGTTTCTATCCGCTTGTCCATCTATTATTTGGAAAAAAACGGCAAAAGTAAAATGTGAATTAAATGCTACATTTTGACATGTCACAGTAGGAAAAGTACAGGTGTAAATAACAACATTGGTGAAGCTGCTTCAGTTTCAGGGTCCTGGTGTTGTGCATGCTAGCTCGCCGTCACACTGTTGTAGCCTCCAGGGACGCCTGAACAGAACAGAGCCCGAACTGTGCCATTTCTTCTCACTACAATATAATGTATTAGGGTTTTACAAAGCTCTATGTAGTATCTACGCAGTGCCACTCACCATTGCAAAGAGGTTCTCATAGCCCTGGACCTTAGTGGGCACCTTAGAGAACTTCTGGTCAAAAGCATCAGAGATGTTGTGAGCTGGATCGGTGGAGATGATGAGGACACTCTCCCTGACGGAAGCGAGCTGGACAGCCAAACTGCAACTGGAAAGACAAAAGTACACAAGAGATATTTGTCATCTTAAAAGTTGCATGAAGTAAACTGCAGTGAGCAAGTTAAGCGACACATCTTCTGTTCATAAGATGGTCATGTTGTCACTGTAACTGTCAGGTTCACAGGACTTTTAAACCTTTACTATAAGGGCTTCATCCAACACTAGTTACTTAACGTTGGCTGTTGCTTGATTCTGTCTTTTGATATTGTATATTCTTCATTTTGTCATCTTCGCTCAATGGCTTCAACGATAATTAAAGGAGGCGTAATTGCAAAACTGACAGCTAACACTAGCTAGCTAACTAGCGTTAGTCTGTTCGTTACCCACAGGTAACGTTAGATGTCAGTTAGCTCAGCTACAAGCTAACACAACGTTAGCCCTTGAATAAACACAAGGCAGAAGAAAACACGCAGGCTGTCGGTGTGAGTGTCAAACCACTTGAGGAAGTCAAGAATACAAGTGTCAGTTGGCTAACGTTAGCTAGTGACAGTGCTTGACAGCATTGAAATGAGTTCAGCTAACGCTAGATAATAACGGGCTAATGACTTAACGCCACATGTAACGGTGATGGTGTTTCAAAGCTTGCGCGTCTTCAACCGGTAACGTTAAGCTACCGCTCATTAGATTAGTGTTGTGGAAAAATATTCGTTTACTGAAAAATACACCTCAAGTTACGGTGGCAGCTAATCTACGCTAGCTAGCCCTGTTAGCTTGTGCGGTAGCCTGAGCCGATATCAGGAGCGAATGAGCATTTGCCTTCAACTTACCTGCATGTCGTTTTACCAACACCACCTTTCCCACCCACAAATATCCATTTCAAAGATTTCTGTTCGATGATGTTCTTCAGTGTTGGTTCTAACGGCTCCACATCGGGCGCATCTTCAAACTCGTCTTCTAGTAAAGCTGCCATCTTGTCTGTGTACAATGTGAACGTTACAGCTCAGGTGGGCTGTGCCGACACTGCTGCGTTCACTGCTCCTCGGACAAAGGGAAACTGTATCTGTGCAAATGGAGGCTGCTGTCAAATAGAGAGAAGTAGCAAAAGTCAAAAGTAATGTTGTTGTAGATTTGGGAGGAATGTGTTTGATATCAAACTATCCCCTTAGAGATATTAAATCTAATAAAGGATTATCTTATCTTATATTGAGACATTACCAATAGTGGTGAGGCCAGAATGGGCAGAAAGTGCAAATTTTAAAAGCTGGATGTCAGTAATGAGGCTAATCTCTCTATATATGTGTATATACTCTGTATATATATTGTATATATATATATATATATATATATATATATATGTGTGTGTGTGTGTGTGTGTGTGTGTGTATATATATATATATATATTCATTTTCATTCTTTCAATTGTTTTCATTTATTGCAAACACAACTCACAAATAATCAAAGGTAAACACAAGACACTTTGTAAAACAGTTTTATTAGGAGATCAATGGTGTCAATCAATGATTTAATAGACATCCTGTTAACATCAGCATGTGGCTTTATCCATGTCACGTGAGAAAGTCAGCAGATATGGGCTGTTGACTCGAACATTCACTACTTTACTTTTTGCAGCATATTGAACCAATCATCACATTTTCTGCAGTTACACATCTTTCGTTGCTTGTACGCTTATTATTATAATACAAAAGAAAACCGTTCCTGTCGCAAAGTGATTTTGTCATCACACTCTCAGAACTGGATACCAATTTCTCTTGGATTCTCAATTTTAGGATGGGATAGATATTCCTTTTAGGTTGATATTTTTAAGTTTCTTTAATAAAAAATAAATGAAAAATGTACGTCACACACGTAAGTACACCCATGCTAATTGTGAAGAGCTGAAAGACAGGTGAAAAGTCTGCAGTGTACTGAAAGCATTGCTGAAAACACAGTGGAACCACTCATTTGTGAAGTTTTCCAAATCATATGAATGTATCACAACCCAAAAGTAATATGGGACTAAAGAGCTGTAGACCGTATTCTGTTATTGACACCAGACATGTAGGCCTTCTGGAGAGAAAAACTTGTGACCAAAAACTAATACATTTTAAGCCCCAGACCATCACAGAAGGGAGAAAGTGAATGAGTAGCCTTCATCCCTGCTTACACAAAGCAACAATAGAGAGGATGTGTTTGACAGAGTGTTGCTGAAGAAACTAAATAATTCAACAATTCATCAGGAGACAAAATCTTTTATTAAATTCTGCTCAAAGTCAGTAATATAAAAAGGTGCAACGTCTTACTGAGTGATGAAAAGCAAATATGATTAGGCTTGAAAAATCATTTGACACATTTTTGATTTCATCAATAACAACTCAATGACAGTATAACATACATATAAACATCCAGCATATTATGAGGATTGAAAATCTTAAGCCCTAGTGAGAAAAACATTCATTTACAAGAACATGAACATGCTGTGACCACAGGATAAGGCACTACAGCCCATATACACCTTTTCATGACTTCACCTGTCCCCATCTCAATTCTGCCATCAGATCTGTGAGCTTTAATCCCTCTAGAAACATCTCCTCCCTCTCTGACTTCCAAGCAGTGCCAAGCCAGAATCTTTATGCGAGCTGTCTGAGCTCGCACACACTCCATCCCACCAGGAAAGGAGCAACTTCGCACTCCATCTGATTTTTCACAATCAGTATGACGCAGCCAACGTGGCCAGAAAGCCGGACCCAGATCCACCCATTGGTAGCTCAATCCACAAGTGGCAGAGCGCACTAACCAGTCTCTGACTGAACTGCCGACATGTGAGGGCAGAGAACCGAGGTCCAGATCCGCAGCTTCCTTTACCAGCTTCTGGCGATGGCTTGCTGCAGCCTCTCTCAGCTCTGGAGAAGCACTCAGGTTGACAGCGGTGTAGCTGGGCAATTTTGCGGGCAGTGATGAATTACCCAAAGGTTGACCACCCCTATGACACCCAGAGGCTTGAGATGGCTGATCTATGGACATCCAGAACAGGTCAAAAGAGGATCCCAGAAGACGCAGGAGGCGTGAGGGGCGGCGATGTCTGGGTTTGGGCATGTAGTGGTAGTCCTTAGCATTGGTCAGCAGGGTGTATGGAGGGACGGGCTGTGAATAGGACAGCAAACTGTCTCTCAGCTGAAGAAATGTTGAATCCCAGCCTGTGTCCTCCTCGTCTTGAACAACGGTTGCGTTTGGAAGCTGGATCTGGGTTGAAATGTTAGAAGCAAACAATGCAGATCCATGTAGAAGGACAGAAACAGAAATCCAGCAGACAAAGACAACACAGTTGACTGGTCGAGGCATGGCTTTAGGTGTGGATAGTACAACAGAAGGGTGAGTTATAGGGTTTCCTCCAGGTGCGTCAGAGACTCCTATACCAGACATCCTTGAGCTTGTGAACAATAACATACTGAACTCAGTGCCTTAGAACACAAACAGTGGACATATTATTGAGGATGGGTTTTTCAAGGCTCTGATGTTTTGGCTAGCTTCAACGCAAACATGCAGGACACATCTGAGAAGCTAGTTTCACGTGTTAGTCACCAGATTTACTACAATTTTAACAGATTTCTACGTGTGATACTTTCAAGCAATGGAGATGTCATCAAGGAGACATTTGTATGAGAAAAAAAAAAATGGTTTGAGATAATTCACAGCTAGCATGAAGCAAGACAGAAGAAGAAGAAGAATCATTTGGCCTTGATTTGGCGGAGCAGCGATCTCTCACACAAAGACTGTACTTAGATCAGTTATAAAACAAGCCTCAGGGTGAATTCCCATCATGGCAGCTTAGATTAATGACATAGCAGACATCAAAGGAGGACAGATGCAACATGTTTACAGAATAATAACCCTATTTATTCTCATCTACACAAGATCAGCTGTCTGAGTCAAAGGCACATGATGGCGTGATATCAAACATATTTTCAACATTATATTGAACTCTAAACAATAGTTGCATTTTAACATTATAATAATATAATTCATAAATACAGTCACAGGAAGTTTTTTATACTCGCATAAAGATAACAAAGAGCAGGAATTAACTAAGAAATATTGCATTTATGCAATGAGTTGATTAGGTAGTAGGTCTGTAGTGTCAGGTTTATTCTGTGAGTGTGTGTGTGTGTGTGTGTGTGTGTGTGCTTTCAGAGGAAACCTGACTTAACACAGCATGTGTGTGATTGTGGGCATATTTTAATATGATGCCGTGTGTACGTTGATATTTACATCCACCCGCTTCTCTTGTTTGTCCTCAGACTCAAAGTGAGAAGAGATGGTCTGATCTCTCCTGCTGTTGGTTAGATTGCGGCGGCGGCGGCGGCGGTCTGGAGGTGGACGGCGGCACGCTTCGAATCGTCTGTCCTCTTTGGTCCGATGCCTTCGCCCGATCCTCCAGAAACTGATCAAACTCTGAAAGGGACAGTTGTAGTTAGATGTGCGTGTATGTGCATGAACACACAGAAAGTAAACACGAAATATGAAACATTATTTTTAACACTAAAATGGCAGCAATGGACCAGCAGACAGAACAACACACCTGTACTGGAAACTCCCTCACTAACTGAAGACTGGTCTTCCTGCACGTCCAAACACAATAAAACAGATTAAAGATACATCATGCTGCAGTATATTACACATCACATAAAGAACACCGTTTAATAAAGAGAGAAGCTTCTCTTACCATATCACCAGATAACCATTTGTCAACATCGTTCTGCTGAGAGGTTTTCGCGGCTGGCATCTAAAAGGAACAGTAATGAAAATGAGGTGACACTGTGTTTTAGCTGTATTCACTACACTTTGTATTTGTATTTCACAGGAGATGTTCTGTTTGACTCCATGTCTGTCTTATGGTGGCACACTCACCCCTCCTGTGACCTGCAACCTCGTATCCAGAGCTCCAGCGAGGCCCTCCACAGCTCCTGGGTCCTCATACCGGACACTGGGGATAGGATATATTGTAATGCTGTGATGCAGTGTAGGCTGTATTAAACTAAATATTAATTTCAACTTTTTGCCCGAGAGTCAAACCTTGATGTTGCAATTAGTTGGCATGCCCACATTAAACACTCGGCCATGGGGGCGGTCCAGACTGTTGTTTACTTCTTATTGGTAAAATAACCTTTTTGTTTGTGATGCAGTTTGAAAAAATCCAAATTGCCAAATAAAAATCAAATGTGAAAAATCAAATTGTCAGGCTTTGTGTTCTTTATGTGGCGTCATGTACTGTCGGCCAAAACTAAACATCTTTCATCAGAGGTTTAGTGGCAAAAGTAACCTCACCGGTCAGCTTGCAATTTCATCTCACTACATTCAGACGTTTTTAATGAAATCATATCTTTTTATGTCTTATTATATTCAGATTCAGTCACAGATTGCAGATATCTGTAAAGCAAATCCCGTTATCGCTAAGGCTACTACACCAGGTCAAAGTTACCACAAGGGATGAGGCACTTTTCATCTCTTAAACACCAGCACCAGACATGTTGTGACAGTCCGTGGTGTCGGGATGTGATGCGTGTCTTTCTGTCACCAGTCAGCACCGCTCACCTTTTCCTCTGCTCAGCCAGGGAGCTGCCTCTCGTCTGGGCAAACATGTCAAACTCCCCCTCCACCTCTGCAAGACAGTTTCTTACCCATTAAGTCACAGCTGAATGAAAAAAGCCCTCTTCCACTCTGTTATCTAAATTCCTGTAGCAACACTTTTGAATAATAAAACCACAAACATGAATGGAAACAGTGATTTTGTACTCTCAAACTTTCAAACACATCATATTCTCCAACAGTGCAATTCTGGATTTTCTCCTTTTTCCTAAGTTGTCATGTTATTGTGAAACCCCATAAACACTGAATGTCCATGTGATGCCCAGCCACAACATTCTGTTTTCTGCCAGATATATACGCCAAATTACAAAAGCAAAAACTCCAGTTTCAGGAATGTTATACGTATGGATTTGGTATATATATGAAGCAGAAGTTCTACAATGTTCACTCACTGTGGTCGGCTGGCTGCGGTGTGCTGGTGCTGGTGCTGGTGCTGCTGGCTGCTGGTTGGCTGGTTGTTGCAATGACAGCAGGCTGGCTGAGGTTGATGAGGCTCGGGCTTGTGGCAGAGCTCTGCTAGAGTGAGGACGCAACACAGCGGGGCGTCAAACTCGTGTGCGAGCTTGTTCTTACAGCAGAAATGAGGAGGAGCGAGCCGTCTTCTTACCTGTTGACTATTTGGGATTTGTGCCTTGTTCAGTCTGTCAAACCTAAAACACAATTACAATACAATGAGCATGAATTTAGCCATGAGAAAGATACATATCGCACCCTTATGATCCAAAACATGAAGCTAGGCTGCGGCACACCTCTCATAGCGGATGAAGGCGTTGTTCAGGTCATCGTTGACCATGAGCAGCTCTTCAATAAACCCTTCATCCAGCAGCTGGGGGATGAGCTCCACCACTCGAGTTTGCATGCTCTTACACACCGAGTACAGCTGCTGCTTGGACATCGGAGGACAGAGAGATTAATTCATTCTCACCAATAATTACATGGAGTAAATTAATCATCCATCTTTGATGTTAAATCCAGTCCCAGGGTTATATGATGCTTAAATGTACTTTTGTTGGTGTACCCAATTTTCTTAATCCGTTTCATCTATTTTTACGTCAGTCACTAGTTTACTACATTTCCCATGATTCTTTGCCAACAACATGATACCTACACTTGCAGAGAGTACATGAAGTACAGAGCAATTGTACCGGCAGCATCAACAAAACAGCCCGAAGAGAGGAAGAGTAATAAAAGGGAAGTGAAACAAATAAGTGTCTCTGCTTCCCCATGTACGATCGATTAATACAGACACACATGGCAAGCTATTAAATCAATTGACAGATTGTACCAACACAAAAATGTAGCCTGCACAGTTGAATATAAAGTCACATTTAAAGTAATGTATGATCACACTAGAATGAAGCATCAGAACAAAACACACAATCATTTATGGTACATCTTCTGCCAACTCATTTTGTTTTAAACAGCACTGATGATGGACACACACACACACACACACACACACACACACACACACACACACACACACACCTGTAGCAGCTCTGTGTCATCTTGCTGGCTCTGTCCAGGTATTAGCTCATTCAGCAGCTCTGTCATCACAGTGAGATTTCCCTTCACCAGTGCCAGCTCGCTTCGCAGCTTCTGTTCCTGATTAAGAAACTTAAAAAAAAAATCTAAAGCAGTCAAAAAAGCAACAACACGACGACGTTTATTCTATAAAGCCAACATTGTGCATAGAAACAGCCTATTACTCATGTAATACAGTTACCATTAACAATGGCCCTGCTCCAGCTCAAATCAAATGGTCAGTTCTGACAAATGAATCTTCACCAGACACTTTCCCACAGGTCACATGTGCAAGACTCAGTGCCCAGTTTGGGAACCACATACCTGATTTAAGATGCAGTTAGACACTAGTCTATGTTAATGGTTTGAATGCTGTTCCAGAGGCAAAACATCAAAAGATGCGGAATATTGGCTCAACATATCAGTGCCTATAAGAACTATTAAAGCTGAGACATGTTCATGTTTTATTGTCTGAATCACAATGGATGAACATTGGATGTACATTGGATTATTGACACTGAAAATAAAAAGCTTCTTTAACTTAATTTCAAAGTGAAAGCACATTGATCTTGAGTTTATAAATGTCCCTAACTTTAACAATGTCATAGCTTTCTTAACCTGCTTTATGTAGTCAGTGACTGGCAGTGTTTTTAGGCTGTTGTACCTGTTCTGCATGGAGGGAGGCTGGTCCCTCGCTGGACAGGACTGGAGTGGACGTACTCTGAGTGGGAACACTGGAAGGTGCTTGTGGTTGTGGCTGATGTGTGAAAGCAGCGACGGGGTTCGTTTCAGGGGTCCCGTTTTCTGGGATACTCTGCAAGATGAATGGAGAAGGTGCGCTGTAGAGATAGATATCTGTAGATGCATTTCTTTTGCTGTGTTGTTCTCATTTTGTAGACAGTCTCACCCTATTCGGAGTGTGGATGGGGGACAGAGCATCCAGATCGGTCATGGGGAACTCCAGACCACGTCTCCTCAGGTCGTCATATACGCACACCACCCCCCCTAGGGAGGGAGAGCTACGAAACGCATCGGCCCATGACTGCGGATGATATGACGAAACAAATCATGAGAATAACGGATTCCTAAATCAGCGTTCAATAGCACAGTCAACTGGCCAAATGTGGAAAAAACAACAAGAAGAAACCAAAAGCTACAGAGAAGGATTGCTCAGTCAGCATATACATCTAATATTATCATTCCTGCTAGTCTGTGATTACACAGAACTGGCTTTGACCATGTAGCACACGATTGTACACGTCTGCAGCCATAACAGAGTCCAGAGTCCAGTGGGATCATCACACAGAACTGAAGGATCTCATAATAACGGCTGCAATTATTTGCCTGCTTTACTTGTGTTTTATTATAGTAAATGTAATATCTTTGGGTTTAGAAGTAAAAAAAAGAAAACATTAGCAAGACATCGCTTTTGGTAAAACGTGATGGAGATTTATTAATACATTCATTTTTTTATAGACACGACTAATAAATGATTTAAGACAACAAGCAGCAGACTAACCACGAAGGGAAGTACTCATTAGTTGCAGCACAAGTGCAGACAGTTTTTGTCATATATTGCCCTCTGCAGGAGCATCCACATACCTGTATGAGGCTGAGCACCCGGTCGTGGAGGGCAGTGGGGGGGTTGTATCTGGGCAGAATGGAACGCACCAAAACTCCTTCAATAAACTCCTGCGACGCCACAAGAATGTGGAAGCGATGGCCACAGTTCTTCACACAGGCCTCAAGAACCTGTGTGACAGTGATAATGAAATCTATGCAAGTCAAAATAAAAGCTTGTTCTCTCATTGTCTCAACGCGTACACGAAGACAATGTTGAATAAACCCCAAACCATCGCGACAAGGCCACCAGCCAATTAGGACCAGGGTCATTCTGACCGTCAAATTACACTCTTACACTAAAATAATGGATAACATCATTGCACGCGATCCCCTGCAGATGAATACTCACAGTAAGGGCCAACATGATCTCTCTGAAGTTCTTGTTCGCTACGATTATCTTCTTAATAGCTTTGACTGCGTCTCTGGGCCTGAGAAAAATAAAAACTGATATTGATAAATGAGAAAAGAAAGGTATAGTTGCGTTTGTGGTTCATCTCGATGAGATTTGACTGTATACATGTAACCACTACACACGTTGCATTCCAGGATTACAGTGACATTCGTCTTTTAGCATTACAGAAACCACACTGCAGAGCAAACTGTGAGACTGGCCTTCACTGTAGGTCATTCAGTCACAACCAGATCTCCATAGAAATACAAAAAGAAACAAAATCATGAAGGACGTGGCACTAAACATAAAACGTGTGGAGCTACACACAGAGCACTGTGTTAGTCAGAAGGGTTAGGCAGTGTGCATCAGATGGGCTCAGTCAGAGGCTTCGTGGTGAAACCATGTTACGTACCCCTCGTCCGTCTCGTTGATGATGTCACATATCTCCATATTGAGCCCCCAGTCGTCGGACTGCAGAGCGCCGCTGGTCGCTCGCTCTGTCAACAGAGAGGGAATCACATACAGTTACAGTGATACAGTAACACTGATATGGGAAGAGAACATGAAGCGATAACCAGAAGACTTTCTTCTGATATCATGACATCTGCAACATAATACTCAGTCACATTTTTCACAAACATCAAATACTAAAAACCTCTCATGTGAAGTGAGTGGCATCCTCCAGATAATATGGTTTTATAGCAACTCGTTGTTTATCACCATAAGCTGATTGAGAAAATGGGTTTCCGGCTTAAACATGTATTTCCCTCCAAACTATTTAGCAATCAAAGCCAGTTTTCTTTGCACTCCAGCCCTCACAGGCTCCTCGTGAGTCTCTAAATCTCCTCCATTCCTCTCCACTAACACCCCCACACTTCTCCAAACCCTCGCTGCTTTTCTCAATCGCATTTTACTCCCCCTCCTCTCTCCTCCCCTGGCTCCCTCCACTTCATGTGACTGTCAGCTGCTTTCTGCTCTCATTGGCCTCAGCCGGAGCAGAAGCCTCTCTGACATGACTGTGTGAGAAAGTGAGTGGATGAGGTCAGAGGAAGGAAGGCTTGAGATGGCTGCCTGTCATTCTGTCACATCTCTAGATTGTCATGATTACACATCTGTCTCATGCAGCTGTCTGAGTGTCTGTTGTGGGTTTGTTTGCATCACAAAAAGCAGCAACCTGTTGCCACCGAGGATCCACTGCTGGTTCAAAATGTGACACATGTTATGCTTGTTACAGAGCGGCAGTGACACTTGTGCGTAATGGTGTGAACCGGAATCTTGACAAAACACATCAGTGATCGAGGAAGTGAGAGGAAACACCCAGCGCCTCCTTCATTCCTCAAATGATCCGTCACTCATCTCTCATTAACCAATCAAACGAAAGATTCGGTGGGCTCGAGTCCCGCCTCCGTCGCGTCATTGGCTCTAAAGACTTCTTTTTATGTTTTTGTCAAATTTGGAGTTCATTTTTAAACATTTTAGATCAGGAAATGTGTTATTAAATGATCTTAGGCCACTTCCCCGCGAGTGTGGTTCTGAAACGCTGGAACATGTCATTGATTAGGTAAATTAAATGATGAATCCAGCGGTGAACAACTCCGAGTTTCAAAAGCAACGGCGACTTACCGATTCTCTGACCGACGGGCGTTGAAAAGGGGTTTCCTATGAGAAACTCCATCTTCTCCCCGAGTGAAAACATCTTGGAGACTGACCAGCGTCCCCCTCTTAACTGTATTGAAGTAAATTGGCAGCTCCTGAGCTCTAAACTGCGGCGTTTCCGTTTGCTTTACGTGTCCTCAGCTGCTTCAGAGGCGCACGGGCTCCGAGTCACGTGAAAGCTCCCACAGAGCCAGGAAACAGCAGACATCAACAGACTGATGTGTGTGAGTGGAGCTGTTTCACGTCTCTAGTCCTTACACGTTCAGCTCAGAGCAAGGTCGTCCTGGCCCATAATACTCATAACCTTTTCTCGCATAAAAGTAGTAACACCACAGCTCCGCTGTCAGTAAAGGTACACCTTTCAAAAGCTAAGTAAAGGTAGTATTACCAGCAAAATGTAGCCTCAGGTATCAAAAGTAAAAGTTCTCAATTTGCAGACAGACTTTGAATGCAGTATGTTATATTTATATATAATGTATATAGGCCTATAATTGGCAGTCAAGAAGTATAAGATATTTTAATAAATTAAAAGTAGCAAAACACTTCATTAAAAGTAAAAGTCTTGCATTCACAATCTGTGCTGTAATCTCCCTGTGTATGCCTGTACTACTGTTGGGTAGTTGAATCTCAAACAATGAAGTTATCAGGAGTTTTATAATAGAAAGTCTTGATCTGAAACTGTTGGATAAATGTAGTTAATTCAAAAGTACAATATGTCCCTCTTAAAGTAGCGGCAACAAGTATCATAAATTGAAAATGCCAAATTTAAATATCCTAAATTGTACTAAAGTACAGTACTTAAGTAAATGTACTTAGTTACATTCCACTTCTGCAACCATTCTGTTTCAGATCCACTTCTCATCCTAAATGCAAGTTTAAATGAAACAAATTAGGGCCAACTACCAACTGCCGTCTATTTCTGTCATCCTCATCTCAAACTGTACAGGATTGAGAGGAACACATAATGCAGGAACATGGTGTATGATTGATGTTCAGTATCGCCTCGCAGCTCGTATGAAACACTGAGGGAAGCCATGCTCACATCTCAGTACAGGTACCTTGTTAATAACAAAGAGAACAGTTTTTAAAATGTGTAAATAAAACACCATTCTGCTCTCTCAGCTTGAAAATATTCTGTTTCAAGGAAAACTCCAAAAGGTCACACTGGTGGATCTGTACATTGAACTTCTCTGACCAAATGAAATCGATTGTCAGAGACAACATGTGCAGGTTCTGCTGCAATACAGTTACTTTGGAGTCTACGACTAACACGCAATTAGCTGCTAAGACAGTATGAATGAAGATTTTTCATGAGTACATAATCCTTTCGCATAAATAATAATATGTCCTGTTTGTTCCATTTTTTTGTTGAGCTCTTAAAATGGCATTTAAAAACAGCCTTGATATGTTTGTTTATTCAAAAGTTAAATGAGATTCAGCATGGGTTTCATTATAACCACGTTACCCTCTCACCTGCAGTGTGTACAGTCGTACTTAACATCAGAATTCTCAATAGTTTGACCTGCTGCTACACAGCTGGCATCAGATAGTGAGATTATTTTTGTATTAACACAAAATGAATATTCATGAATATTTTTGGTACAAAATTCACACGTCATCTTCGCTCAGCCTGTTGTGTGCAGTGACCAGTGACACATAAGACCAGTGAGAGGATGAATGCAGAAGTAGAGGTTGAATGAATGAAACGCATTTGAGCGGTAGATAAGCGTTTACTGCGTTAACTTTGTTACAATTCCACAACCAAAATCTAAGACCAACAGTTATTTGTAGGCCTGAAATTCTGGCATATTTTTACGTCAGCAGCACCATCTAGTGTAAATGTAGCCTGCAGGGAAACTACACGTCAACGTCTGCTGGTGGAGCCTTCAGGGTTAAATCTGCTGCTGAGTTTTACTTCTGGCATCAACAGAATAGAGCCACATGTCAGAGACTACAGATGTGGTTCAGGAATCTGTTTGTTTGTTTCTCATCTAACATATATATATATTTCTCTAATGTACTTAAGACACAGTTTGGGTTGTTTAGGTTTGCACTGTTTTCACTAGCATTAAAAATCCGAAATAAAATTTTGCCACAAAACTCAACGGGTCTATTGGGAAACTAACCTCACAATAACCTTTTTTTACTCAACTATTTTTGCCTTTATCTGAGCCAGTAGAGAGATTACAGTGATTGATTACAGTGAGCCGATCCACTGATTGATTCATTCTCAGCTCTACTTATTTATAATATTGGGTACTTTAATCTGTAAAAATCTTTATTGTTTTACAAGTCCCTTATCATTTTATGTTTTGTATGTAAATAAATTTCTAATTTCTAGAGTAATTAGTAACTGAAGCTGTTGAATAACTGGAGTAAAAAGTACAGTATTTTAGTGGAGTAAGTAACTGAAAGTACAGTACTTGAGTAAATCCGACTCCACCACTGCAGCCCAGTTGAGCTTGTTAGGTGAGTAGAAATATTATAGTTTAGTGCACGGTGAGCAGTTAGCTGCAGGGATACGTTCAAAGCTTGATTACAGTCAGAGATGGCAGAGAGGACTACTCTCTATCTTTGAAATGTCTTTCATGCTTTTGGAGAAAGTCCACTTTTCATATTTTCTATGGGGGTTTGCAAAAAAAGTCCTGTTTGTGTAAGTGGAGAACACAACTCTGTACGATGGTTCAACCAAACTGACAAGTGAAAGAGACAAAGATCCTTCTGAGCAACAGTTGGAAAAGAAGAAATCAGTCATTGGTGAAAGAAGTTGGAAGCTTAGCATCAACATGTGTTGAGGAACAGGTTCCTGTTTCAGTGTCAAGTGTACAACAATGCAGCCATAACGAGCTGGAATATTAACAGGTGTGTTTATTTAGCAACGCTCTTCTTAAAGCTCATCACAATAGAAATATAAGGATAGTGTCGGGTTATCACTGGTGGAATATCAGCTGAACATACTGTGACAAACTTAAACAACTTCAGTTTAAGAGTATTCTCCCGTCATGTGAAACTAAGAGGAAATCGACTAAATGTTTTAATAATTGCATTCTTCTTTTGGGGCCCAAACTATTTCAAATGTAAATAATACATTTGGTGTCTGGTACTCTTTTTGTCTCTGTGAGAAAAGTCATCATTGAAGGAGAGAAGAAAACTGGCGCACTGCATGTAATGGCCTGTACTCATGCATTATCACCACTAGGTGGCAGCATTGAATGTGAATGGTCCAGTGGTTTGGTTTTATGTTGTTCCAGACGAGCAACCATGTACCGCCGACTATGGACAGCAGTGCATTACTAACATGGTGAAATAAGAACCAGGTTTATATACTGCACAGACGGTCTCTTTCTGAAATCGGAGGCGTATTGTTAGAGCGACAGCATCCACTTGTTGCACTCACAAGTTGTTCTTGTGATGAGAAAATTACCTTAAATTTAAACTATGAAAGAATCAAGGCTTCCAGTATGACACAGTACTGCATCAGATTTAACCCTGTGCAAACATGGCCTCTATGGCTTTAAATTGAATTGCTGACCTGAGGTCGGGCTACTTGCCCATCCCATGTAATATTCACTATTATGTCAACGGGCTCTTTGGTTGTATCTGTCCCATAACCAGCATCCTGTTCCTCTGGGAACTGATAATGGTGATAATGTCGTTGGTAGGAGAGTAAACTACTACTTTAGTTTCATTCTTCCTGCTTTATAAACATGTATTACACAGCTTTGTTGAACACTCAGTTCTACGGTCTGTTTTTTTTTATCAATAAAATCATTTTTAAATCAATATTTTGTGTCAAGTTATTGATCTCTTTAGAGACTAGCTAGATAATGTAGGCTACAGAGACCGGATCATTCTTGCAAAATGAACCCATTCAGGTCGATTGAAGACAAACAGTATTACACGTCCATCGGTTCAACATGAGAAGAGACATGTTTTGAGTGTTCCAGTAACTTGACACTCTCTGTGTTGATAGAATCAGTGAGGAAGTGAAGATGAAAGCCTGTGACCTTCGACCTTTGAGTTTCTCCACAGATACCCTCAGGCCTCCCTGTGATGTGTTTATGACCGTAGTAAAAAGGAAAAGTGAAACAGCTAATGAGGCCTATTGTGTATTCTCAATGATCCCATTTATGGATCTCTAGATAGTTTCAAGAACAGTTTCATTGATTACTTTACAACTCCCACACCGTCCTTCTACAGGCACACGACTTCTCTCCTCTCTCTCTGCAGACACACAACTCTTCTCCGAGCATCGGATGAGAAAGCCCAGAGGCATGCTGGCTCACACTGTGTGGTTGCGAGGAGGAGAAAACCGGTGTGTTATCTCTTATCTCCAGGCTGCACGACCCGGCATAATGTAACAACCTTAAAACCCTCACACCATTGTTCACACAGCACAAGGCCTGCATCAGCCCTCTGTGGCCAAAGGCATGCATGTTGCATAACATTACATTAGCCAGCAGCAAAAAGCTGTAAAGCAGGAAATCACGGGAAGGAAAAGTTTACTTTTTAGTATTTTCATTCATGTTTGGATCAAAAAGCCATTCAAGAATGATTATTTAAAGGAAACATCTTTCTTTTCCTCTCGATTTTTCCAGTAGGCTCTCGCTCCTGTGGTTGAGCAGAGGGAAACTTGTAGACAACCGCACACATAAAGCACGTTTTAATCCACAGCTGCCACACAACCGTCCATCAATGTCACAACCATCCATAATTTCAGGAGACTTAAGCCTAGGAAATAGCATGCATGTACGTATGAATGCACTTGTGTGTGAATGTGTGTGCGGTTGCACTGGTTGTAAATTGATCCCTCCTACTCTCGCTGGTTCGTTGTGCAGAGGAGGGGCGAGGAGGAGGAGGAGGAGGAGGAAGAGGAGGAGGAGGAGGGAACCGAAGCAGGAAGGCAGGCAGGCAGAGAGGCAGGCTGTGAATGCTAACAAGCACCGTCGGAATCATAGCGCTCCATCGGTAGGGTTTGATAAAAAAAAAAGAAAAAGACCGTCTCGCCATGGAGAGGAACGACGACCACTATTAAACACCTACTATGCGCCAGTGCCGCGTTCGCCCTGTGCGCGTGCAGCAGCCTCACCGTCGTCGGCACGTTTGATCAGAAAAACCGTCTTTTTCCGCTGAGTGAAATGTATCGCGACTGCTCCGGATTCACATTCTGACAATGGAGATTGAAAATATCGTGGCCAACACGGTTCTCCTGAAGGCAAGAGAAGGTAAGCACAGCAGAATGGCAAGAAAGAAGAAATGAAAATGTATTTTCTGTTTGTTTTTTCTTGGGTCCCCCGCCTCTCCGACATGGACACGGACCAGCCCGAGCTTTCGGCTGTCCTCCTCGGGGTTTATGCTTTTCTCTGTCTGTCATCCCTGCGCAGCGCATTTCGTCTCTGGGCAGACACCGAACATATTCCGTTGAAAATCAGCTGTTTGTACACCAGCAACGCGCATATATTTGCCGCGCAGGTTAACACAAGGCCCAGCGGGCTGGAGGTGAACAACGCAGGGAGTGTTTGCAGCATCGCGGCGTTGCGTTACAGGCTGTCGAGCACATTTTTCCACACAAGCACAAGTGGTTTTGTGGATATTTACGATGACATAACGGATATTTACCGGTGTTCACCTTACATGTTATTGTAATTGTTGACCCCGAAAATAAAGCTGCGCAGCGGGGCTCGGTGCTTCAGTAACAAGCCGCTTTGTGTCATTGTAGGTTTCAATGCGTGTGTTTAAAAAAAAAAAAAAAAAAAAAAGCCCAATTAGAAATGTAACGTGAACGTGTGGTGTTATTTGGCGCAGAAATATGCCACTGCATTGCCGTTTCGGCTGTTGATAAGGACCTAGCGGGAGGGGGGAATACTGTTCTAGTGGAGGGTTTAGTTGCGAGGGGGGAGACCGGGAGAAGGCCCGGTCTGCCCCCCCGCGGCCCGGGTGTGCACGCTGCTCAGCGGGCCGGTGATCCCGCAGCAGCTCACCTGGAGGCGGAAAAAGAAGCGAGTGTCCATCTGTTTTCCAGGAGATGGCAGAGCAGAGAGGCCGGTGAGTGGGCGCAGGGTGGGTGTACAGCCCTGTATCAGCTGCCGGGGGGGGGGAAAGGTGTTATTACTAGTCAACGATTTCCACTTATGTTTTTTCTTCTTCTTTTTTCTTCCCTCTCGTCCAATCGGATTGGACGCCAGCATCAGGCTATATGGCCTCCAGAGGGTATTGTCAAAGTTGATGCGCTGTATTCGCTCACAGTGCGGCTGCATGGCTCAGTTCAGTGTGCGTATGCGGAGGCCTCCCCCTGCCTATGGTTTGCATTATAATCGGACTGCGTTTCAGTTCAAGACTAAACGCCGACACTGCTGTGAAATGGATTATTCACAGCGGCAGTGAATCCATTTCTTAGCGGCAGCTGCTTCCTCACGAGGCTCCAGGCTTTTCCTTTACCTGCCGTTAAATGGTGCTTGGCGTTGTCACGAGTGTTTACTCGTGACGGTGCGCTGATCGGATCTACAGCCTCGGTACCTGTCGGTGTCCTCGGCCAGAGGCTCCAGAGGGCCCTCGGTGATGAGGATACGGTCCGTGCAGAGCAGAAGGAGCATGGTATCTGTCTCCATACGTGGCCCAACTTCACCATCATTTAGCTTCAATGGTCAGATGTGTGCAGAAACATTTGGTGATCATTTGACATGACATTTATTGTTTTTTTTTCAGTAATCATTTGAGTCGTTTATCACGTTAATATACCAGCCAGTCATTAATTATCGTGACTTGTGATGTACATTTATTATTATTGTGACATAACAGATTTATCAACAAAGAAAGCAGTCAGTACTTTCAGTCTTAATGAGGATTTCGGATGTAGTCGGTGCTCCTCTGCCACGTCAAATATGTTGAATAAGCCAGTGTTGTTTATATTTCTCCCTGTTATACCATTGACTCTGTTAATTAGCACTCGGATTAAAACCGCTAATGGCTCCCAATTTATCCTTTTAAGGTGCACAGGAGACTAATTTGATTTTAATTAGGCTTTCCAGAGGTGGGTGTTTGCAGCTGTCAGTCTTTCAGTGTGTCACAGTGACAGTTGTCAACACTGGCAGTGTCCCGAGCTGCGGTGCGAACCCCACCTTTTTTTGTATACGCACAAATCCAGACGGGAAGCGGCTCCTGTGGGTCAGAGGTCAGCATCAAGAGTCCCTCCTCCAGCCCCTCCATGCTACACGACATCAAGGCCTCCGCGAGCAGTGGAGTCTGTCTACCAGCTGCCTCAGCCGGGTCCCATCCACTGAGTCAGCAAGCGTTTGCCCTGCTGATGTGTCCTTGAGCATGACATTAAATCAGTTTTCCTGTAACTCTCTGACCTCGTTGTGGAGACAGGAAATGTCAAACAGTTTCCCAGCGCACTAATAAATATGCACGGTGCATAAACAATCATTTTGTTTGCTGATACGCTGAATTAACTCTTGATTATTAAGGCAGCCTAAACACGTCCGCTAGACGACCGTTTGAGTCTGAACACGAGACGCTCAAAACGTTTGACTTTTTTAAAGTCATCTTTTACACACCTGTTGATGTGAAGCTGGGTGGCCAGGGGGCGAAGTGTTATGACAGGGTGTGTCCAGTCTGACACGTTAAGGGAAGTGGTTTGGTGTCGTCGAGATGACTCCTCTCCCGCCTCTCTCCCGCCTCTGTGAAATGTATACATTCAGTACACTACGTGGAAAAAGAAACCCAACACATTTTACAGTATCTCAATTCTGTCCTTTGCCTCGGGGGCCCTTCGGACTGCAAGAGGTTACGCTTGCATGAGGTGAAAGTCTCGTACCGCCAGAGGAAGTTACTGCTAATAATAGCTCCCATGAGAATACGATACAAAGTTTTAGAAACGGTGTGTGTGAGAATATGAGAGGATCATTTGAAGCATAGCTGCAGCCCACAGGTCATGTGGATGTAAAACCTCAGCCAAGCATTAGAGAGTTCATCTCAACACACAGACTCATGCAGTGTAACACTATAACAGTACAACTTTGCCTCCTCAATAATTGTATCGCAGTCTAAATCATTTTCACATCGTCGAGTAGTATTCAGTACATTCAACATTTACCGATGAATACGTCGGAGGGCCTGCTTTGATTGTCTTTTATCACAGACTGCATTGGCTGATATTGATATGATGAATATGAAAGCTTGTAGGACAGAATGCCGTTAAAAGCACTTGAGATCATTTAGAAACAGTGTTATCATACTTTGTCCCGCAGGCTCCACTGTTTACAAAACTTTGCTGCACCTGAGTTGGCGGAGCACCGGATCGCAGCCGAGCAGATGGCGGTGTGAAGTCTGTGGAGAAAAATCCATGTTTACTCTTCAGCTGTAAAACGTCCTGCCTCCATTACAGAGCTCTTTAACAACCACACTGGAGGGTCTCTTTGATCAACTTAACATTTATATGAGATGGGAAACAATTATTGATACAAACTGATACAACTGTATGGTCAAGGTACAAAAATGTGTCTCAATAAGGAAGCATTCAAAGCTGTACATTTGGGGTTTGTTGAGCTTTTACTTCAGTTAGAGAATGACTACGGTTCCCTATGAGAGCCAGTGTTTTCTTGTTGCATTCAGCTATGAGTTTTAAATATAGGTTGAGCACGACAGAAAGAGCTCTTCCAGTTGATAAAAGTTAGTTGCACCCTGTAGTCAAAACCCAACGTGTTGGATGTCTGCAATGCATTCTGGTCTATTGAGTGTTTGTCGTTTAAGTACCGGATTTCTACTCTAAAGTTGGTAAAATAACACACCTGAGGGGCTGACAACTGCTTGCGTTTTCTCAAATTAATAAAAATCGGTACTTTCAGCGAAATATACCGCCGTCACTGCCTTTTGTCTCCGTTCCAAAGATCCCAGCTTTGGTAGATGAATGTGTCTCTGCTGAGAAGCAATGGAAATACCCAAAGGGCACAGAGGAGCAGCATTTACACGTGTATTACTCTTTAATACAAACTTACATGCAACAGAGACACGAACATATGTTCACCACCATATTACGCTTCCACACATGTGTTCCTGTTCAAATGTAAAGAGGGACTGGACATGCAAGGCATTCATCCAGCTTCTCAGAATCACATTTCGTAAAGATCTTTTTCCGCTTTGTTTCTCTTTTCATTCCTACCGTCTTCATAAAAAGGAAGGAATGTGGCCGGTCACATTCCCCGGACAAACGGTAGAAACAAATCCTGCTTATAGAAGTTATTTCCACCTTACAAGTTGGAAGCTCTCTCTTTGTTTTTCTTTGCCATAGAACGCAACACATGTAAGAGGATCTACCTCTGCTTTTGGAGTCGTCCCCCCCCCTTCAGATTGTAGGCCAGCAGGTCCTCTCACACCACTTGTGAGGCTTTTCCTGTGACGTTAGCTGGCGTAGCTTTATTAGTTTTGTGGTCATAGCTGGGCTAACACTTGTTGTCATCACTCTGGGGTGTTTCCTCCACCTGAGGCTCATAAAGCACATTGCTTTGTGACTGTCCCTTGATGTGGGACTCATTTTACAGTTATTACACCCACAAATGGGCTGTGCGGGGAGCGAGACGCAGCGAGTTGCGTACGCGGCCGTGCCGCATGGCACTAGCGGCGACGCTTAGCTGGGTGGCTACCCGGGAGGTTCATTAGCACAATTCCTTGGCAGGCCGACTGAGCATGAAGAGGCACTTTTTGAACATCATAGGGACGTTGTTCCAGCTGCCTTATTAAACGTTGAATGGCCGTTCTTCCTGTGAGAACCCAGCTGTCAGCGATGTGTGCGGCTGAGTGTATTTACAACTTGGCATGGTTAAGATTTAGTTTCTCTAAAAAGAGTTTTTAAAGGTCTGGCAGAGTCGAAAGTCTTGTAGCAAGTGTATTAATTCATAGTCACAATTTTGGCGTCTGCCCTTGGTTGAATTTGTGTCGGTCCTTCCTTCAAAGACGACTTGAAGGGGTTGTCTTATCACAGATAATCTTCAATGTGTAAAACGTTCTACGTGTTCCACACCCAAGGGCTCAGCGCCGGAGAGGACTGCTGCTTGTGTGTTCCTGCTCTCTCAGCGAGGCCGTGAAATTAACCAGCGGGCCCTTCATCTGAGAGACGGCAGTAGATAACGTATAGATGATTAACCTTTCCGTCCGTCCTCTTACTCAATCCAGCTCTGTGCGTTTTGCTCAAGTTTAGTCTCGCCGTGTGTGTTCCCCCCCCCCCCCC